ATTAAAGCCAGCTTGCGCCGTGCGACGACCTTACTCATTAATGCCCTTTTTCAAAAAAAAGAACTTATAGCTAGCCCATGGTTTGCGTAACACAGGGGGTCTAAAATAATTAAGAGATACTCCTCTTATCTTATTTATAAAATAAAGAAAAAAAAATATTTTTTTGTTCTATTTATAAAATAATAACAAATTTTTTTTGTATAAATATATAATTTTACTTTCTATTTATTATTATGTTGATTTTATTTATATAAAGTATGGTAAATATTAAATAGGAATAAAATTATTAAATTATTAAATATAAATTAATAAAGTTTAAAATTTTTTTAAATATATAAAATATATTTGAAATGATTTATAAATAGGATTTAAGGAGTTACTTTACATGATTGTGAATATTAGTGCAGCTCTCTGCACTTCACGTCTCTAGTGTACGTTGATGAGTGTGTATGGATGATTTGAGAGATCGCAGAGATATTTTCAATTCAGGGAGAGTGAGTGGAGCAGAACTTTTGATAAGATTGTTCCGTGAAAACGACAGGTTGTGGATAATTAACATACAGCGAAATTACTGTTTATGTTGCTGGCAATATCAGGTCCATTGTTTTTCCCGCCAATGAACTTAATTAGATGCCAAATGCTCGTCTGATATTTGCATAATTGCACATATAATGTAATAACATAAATGATGAGCATATATAGAAGTTATCAGAATTTGCCGGATCCAAAAGGGTAAAATTAAAGTACAATCAAGTTGATCAACCTTGAAAAGAGACATACATGAACTGATACAGTGGATTATATGACCCTGAAGACTAAGGCCACTTGACCCTTTAATATTTACACTTAACCATTTTCTGCTGCAACTTGTTGCCTTCTTTTTCGTATATGTCTACTTGCATTGTTTCTGCTTACTTGAAGATGTGTTTAAAGTTTGTGTCATGATGGGACCATACTTTAAGAATATACAGCTGCGTCTGGATCCACCTTTGTAATTGTTTTTCAACAAATTTGGATTATTCATGATAAATATCTACCCTCACATTTTTAATACTACTTCCGATACAAAATATAAAATTTAATTTATAGTGTAGTTTACATTAAAAAAATAGATTTTAGATTTAGTACAGGAGATGGTAATATGTGTGTATATAGAAAATTTATGGACACTTGGCTCTCTTGTCATCACATTCCTTTCAAAAGAGAAGATTAACTTTTTAGATTTGCAGTGATAATTGTACAATAAAATAAATGGAAAAAAATAAAACTTAAAACGATCCATTTTTTCGTTAATTAAATAGAAAAATAAAGTTGTTTAATTTAAAAAACTTGCTCTGACATGAAAGTTGATGTAATTAAAATTTGAATTTGAGGGAAAATTGTTAGTGCTTGTGGGGATCACTTCGAACTAAACAGAAAATTTTTAACATGAAAGTTGCACCATTTTTAATTTGTGAATAGTGTCTTTTTCATGGATTATATAGATATACATTGATGGATGATTTTGGACTGAGCATATACAGATGAAATAATCATTGACAAGGACATCAAATCTTGAAATATATGCCAATATGTGTGCAAGTTGATATTCAGAAAATATATAATACTCCTCCGGTCCTAAATGTAAGACCCTTATACACTCTAGTATAAGGGTCTTACATTTAGGACCGGAGGAGTACGTGAAAGGGTGGAAGAAGAATATATATTATGAAATTAAAAAGGGTCCCATGGATATCTTTGGGGTCATATGAGGAGAGCATATATATGCTGATCACTTTCGCTCCCAATGCATTGTGTCTCCACCAAAATCCATAAAATGATTAATTGCGCGGACAAGATTGGCTTCTGTGCCTCTTCAGTGTTTCATCCAAAAAAGAAAAACTAATTTTACTTTTGAAGATGAAATCTAGTGCTTCTTTGGCAATTAGGGATGGAGGCGTTTGACATCGGTTTCAAACCAATTGACTTTCTGAAAGAACTCCCAAAGCAGCATGGGTAAGTCTTATCAAGAAAATCTTCGATTTCCAAACACTCCCAACAAAACCCCCTCCTGAATCTATATGCTAGCCAAAAAATAAAATGAATAAAAATATTATATTTTGATATTCAAATGCGGATCGAGTAATTTATATTAAATTCTGCCCTGCTTGTGTGCCAAAAGAAAAATAAAGAAATAACGTGATGATATATGGTCCGTTTAAAATAATTTAATACTCCTCCGGTCCTTAATATAAGACCCATTTAACTAATTTGATTAGATTAAGAAAGTTAGGTAAGTTAGTTAATTATAAGAAAAGTGACACATTTTTCCTAAAACACCATAATCATCTTTCTTAATACTCCCTCTCTCTCTTCTACTTGATTATAGTTGAGGGAATATCTATAGGGGTAATTTAGAGAAAATTGATAAATATAAGAAATGGGTATTATATTTAGGACCAAAACCAACTCACTAATTGGGTCCTATATTAATGACCGGAGGAGTATTAACTTTTTAATCGCGATTTACAGAATAATAAATATATCAAAAAAGTTTTGTTTTGATCTATGTAAATGATATTTATAAGTGATTTTAAACGCTATCTCAAAGACAGAGAGATGAAGTGGTGGGAAAAGAATAGAGGCACGTGATATATGGCTTGGAGAGTTGGAGGTCCTAGAAATCACGTGCGAGGTGCATGGGAAAGCAGTGAAGGAAGAAGAAGAAGAAGAAGAATGAGAACCAGATAAATGAACTTCTCTGGTCGGATATTGTGTCCCACAAATCCATTTTCAATATCAGTTTCCATGTTATCTCAGCCTGCAGCCTCATTTTAAAATAAAATACATACACCATGCATTATGTGTGTGTGTGTACATATCAGTGTCTGTTGCATATATGATTTATCCAAAGAAAATTCCGTTGGACTGAGTTCATTTTGTTAGTTTTATTTTTGGACTCATTTTTGCGCAGGCTCATTCTAATTTCAAAATATAAAAATGATTGAATCAGCATTTTGACATCTTTTATCCTTGTTTAAAATTGTATGATCAATATTTTCCGTTAACAAAATTAATGATAGTAAAATTAAAGAGTGAAAGATGTTATAAAATGAAGCGATTGAAAATTAGAGAACCATAATCGTTATATAATATAAACTTTTTTCTCATTAATTAATTAAAATTTCTGCACATCACACTTATATATATAGGAGTGATTAACCATAAAAAAAAAAACTTGTTAGATGCTATAATATGAATACGTTTTTAAGAGAAATAAATAATTTTTGTCCACTAAAAACATTGCTTACTGAGAAAATTTATTTTAAAAGAACATAATCATATATAATATGAAATAAACAGGAATACAACAAAGACTAACAGATTAAAGTCTCCTTTCATCAACAACCGATGCACCTTAATGTCAGGGGAAATTGATATTAAAGGTTGTTTGATTAATGTTAGGAGAAAAGGACTTTTATGTCAACTAATTTTTGTAAAGTAAGATTGAGGTAAAAATAAATTGATATAGTGTGATTTTTTTCCTATACCAAGGCGAGCATAGTGTGATTTATGTTTAAGTAACTTTTTGTTAATAAGTTAATCAGATAGAAATGTCAAAAGCTATTTCATGCATTGGTGATATTTGGCATGACTTTTATGCCAATGGATTTTTTTGATTAAAAATCACTTCAAAATTGAAGCAATTTTCCCCCTCACTTTTGACTCTTCTTTTAGATTTTTTTTTTTTTTGCCTCAACTGAATTTTGTAGAATGAAAGTTTTTTTTAAATTAACATTATCTAGAAAATGTTAAAAAAAACAAATTCATTATAATAGTTAAACAATCAATATTAACCGTTAACTACAGCAACGTTGCTCCCCATTTTAAGGTCTTTAGGGCATATTGATTAAAAAAAAAAAAACTTCAGACATTTGCAGCTGCCATGTTAAAATTTGCGAGACAAAATTGAACCTCAATCATTTACATATTCTTCTCCAGTCAACTCTGAGATAAAATTTTGTCATGTACTGAAAATTATTTTAATAACTTCTCATTATAGGATTTAACATTTTTGTCATATAAAATAGTGAAAATACATCATGATTTAATCTATTTGATACATTTCAACACCATTCGTATGACTTCAGGACAAAAAACTGACTTAGTCACTTGACTTACTTGTGCATTGCGCGAGGGTAAATGGTGATCATCAAAGGAAAGAAAAAAAAAAAAGCCAACCCACTAGATATTTTTATTTTGTAAAACTAAAATTAAACCCACTTATAATGATTTGATGAAAAGCAAATAATCTGCATACAAAAGGTTAAGTACGTAAAGTGTTTTTTATACTAAGTAGATATCTCAATGGATTAAGATTTTGTTTGGGAAGGCTTAAAAATTTTCCTATAAATATGTTTTACGTAAATCGAGATAAAATTTTTCTTATATGTTTATCTCATATTCTGTAAATTATTATTAAAAAACTATTTATAAGCTGTTCTAAACAGAGCATAAATCCGTTTGCAGTGACTTAACATTAAAGTTATAGTAATATATTATGTCTGATAAAAAATGATTATAATAAAACAAAATATAAAATGACATCATATAAATGTTTCTCTTGAAAAAATCTGTAGGGAAAAAAGAAATACCCTACTAGAACCACATTTCCAATGACATGGGTCCCACACCTTTTTCTCTGGTTTTATGCCCATCACAATAAAATACAACATGAAATGATCAATCAATTCTCAAAGCTGCTATAAATAAGTCCCCATGTTGCGGTGGGCCCCACTCCCTCCTCTAGGCCGTCAAAAAGGACTTTGTCACAGTGAAAACAGAACCTTCTGGACACACCACAATCAACCAAAAATATCTAAACCCACCGTGCAATCTCGTCCGTATATTCTCACCCCCGTCAATCCCCATCTCACCGTTAAATAAACCAACATTAAACTAATTAAAATACATCAAAACTATATAAACTGCTCAGTTTCTGGAGTGTTCTTGAGCCATAGGGAGGTTGGGGAGGGTCTGCTTGTGATCTCTCCGGGGAAAGCCTCTCCTTCCTCTTTTCCTCTCCTCTTCCCCTTTCACTACACGGAACCTAAAATGCTAAGGTTCCGTGTCCCAATTCTCAAACAAGTACCATAATAATATTAAAAAAAAATCCTAGTATTATCCTTGTGTTGTGTGTTTCCCTTCCTTTTTTAAGGTAGTTTTTCTTGTTGTACGGTGTTTGTGTTTAGTTGGGTTTGGTTGAGTCAATTCGTCGACACGAAAGAGAAGAGAAAAACTGGGTCTGATTGTTGCTTCTGGATTTCATTTGGGTCTGGTTGGCGTTGCGTTATAGCATCTCTTTGCGAAAGTTTGAATTTTTCTATTTCATCGTTGAGAACGACAATGGCGAATGGAGAAGAAAAAGGCAATGACTTCTATGCGGTTATGGGATTGGATAAGGAGTGCACAGAATCAGAGCTCAGAAATGCTTATAAGAAACTCGCAATGGTTAGAATTGAATGCCTCTCTGTTCATCTTTCTTTTTTCTTAATTGCCCTGTTTGTAAGATTCCGAGAACATAGCTTGTGAAACATCCTACTTCAGATTGAGAAATGCCATGTGATCTTTGTTCCGTGAGGAACACTCTGTCCATTTTCCTCTGGTATGGGAAAAGGATTATAAGATGTGTCCCAGGAATTATGTGCGTTTGTTAGAACGTTGTAGTAAGAAAAATAATTTTGTTTGATGGGATAGAAATGGCACCCTGATCGTTGTTCAGCGTCGGGGAATTCAAAGTTCGTGGAAGAAGCTAAGAAGAAATTCCAGGCAATTCAGCAAGCCTATTCCGGTAATTTTTCCTTCTCTCTCTCTTTTTTTGATAAGTTTTTGACCATAGATAGGTGGATTCATTGGATCCTTCTTACCGAAACAAGTAATTCACGAGATGCTACTTTCGTTCTCTCTTCTTACTTTGTTTTTTCTTTTCTTTTCTGCGCCCACAGTTTTATCTGATGCGAATAAGCGGTTCTTGTATGACATAGGAGTCTATGACAGCGATGACGACGACATTGTAAGTCTCTTGGCCGACCCGTCTGGTCTCTGTTTCTTTTGAGACAAAAATTTGGTCCTTTTTACTTAAAATAGAGGAAGTGTGCCTCTTCCCCCCCCCCCTTTTTAGTTTCCCCCTGGTTTTATTATTGGTCATTCTTGCCCTGTTTTTGAGCTATTTTCCCCCTTTTCTCTGTAAAGTGATAAATTTTCTTATTTCTGGGCTTTATACTGGGTTCTATTTTGTTTCCTTCAAGATAGAAATCAGCATGATTGATTCTCAATCTTTGTGGGCTGCTTAGCTTCTTCATATGGATGTTTGTATCGGCGTTTCTGTCGCCTAGCATCTTTTTTGTACTAATATTTAACTGTTTTTCCTAATTCTTGCAGGGGATGGGAGATTTCTTGAACGAAATGGCAGCAATGATGAGCCAAACAAAACCAAATGTGAGTCATTCTTATACTCAAAGTCAGTATTTAATGTTTAATTTTGAGGGGTAAAATGTTGGAAAATTCGACCTACCTGCTTTGGTTAGTTTAGTGGATAAAGCTACTAATAAACATGAGGTTAACTTTTGTCAAATCCTACGTTGTTGTTGCTGGTGCTGCTTTTCTTTCGTTTCTTGAAAGATTCCTCCTCCTTTTGTTCTCTCGAGATTGAAAATGGGCCACCTCTGGGTCACAGGTCGATCTGTTCTTTTTCTGGGGCCCGAACAATTTTAGCTCGAGAGATAATATCCTGTAAATTCGTTGAAGTGAATATTAGTCAGGTCAAAACAAAATGGGCTGAATATTAAGGAGAATTACAATCAAATCCTACAAAAAAAAAATAATTACTAAAAAGTGCCACTGCTTACAATGACATGTCCTATAGATTATAATGACAAGTCCTATATGAAGAATGATAAATTCTGGAACTTGTTTTTTAATTGTTTTCTTTGTTTGGAACCTCATTATAATTCTCCCTATATTAATTACATTTTCTCTGAAATTTTCTCCCCATTGATTTTGACTTCCTGGCATTTTGTTTTTCATCATTAATCCAGTTTTTCAGACTGAAAAGTAAGTAGTAATTGCTAGGTGAAATGGTTGGAGTAGTAGGGTACGGGTTTTCTTTCGGGCAATGATTTTCTTCAACCAAGTTGTAAATCATAAAAAGAATATTTTTTTAGGTAATAATACTAACAAATTCCGGGGTAGAAGTGTAAAGACACAAGCTTCATGATCAACTAGGACGCCGACCCTTTATGTTTTCACTGGGAGCAGAATGGTAGCTTATGGGGTTTGTAGCTGGAAATTCAGCGCCAGAATTCGCGGGTCCATGGGAATGGTGGGTCCCATGGTGCTGCCATTCTTGTCCCCAGGTTTCCGATTCCGATGCGATCTGTGATAACAGTAGCCGGTGCGGCACGAATAATATGGGGCCCACATGGGAGCAACCTGAGCTTTCGCTGACAGTTTTTGACGCTGAAACTTAAGGCCCCGTTTGGTTCACAGGTAGACATGGGTATGTTGGCGCCACGCCACAACTTGTCCCCATTTGCTGACTTGTCCAATCTGGTTTTTTGAAATTTCTCGTAAACATGTTAGGCAGATGTTCTTTGTTCAACATAGGCCCTACCCAGTCTTCTCAGTCCGTACGTATTAGGTATGATTCCATTATACTTCACTTGTGAGGGTCAACAATAAAACAAATTGTAATTTGCATCGTAAGCTTTGATCCTTATGACTGTTTTGGCTATTGAACCTTTGCGAGAGTCGTTTATTTGGGATGTTAGGTATAACAGGACAAGGTAGGTAGTTGCCTTAAGTTCAGAGATGAAGATAAGTACTTTGTTGTCCGTGCTTGTGGTTGCGGTTGGTGGCCGTTGCCTTGAGGGGTGGTTCCTGCAATCAACGTTTAGCAAATTTCTGGGGTTATGTTATTATATTCTGGGTTTAAGCCTTTCTTGATTAAAAACTCTCGCTGCCAAATTAATCGTGCCATGCTTGTTTGTCAACTTTATGGTGTCAATGTGCAGATCTTAATGTGTAAAGCTTGGAACATATGGAGTTCGTTTGTGTGTACTCATTTTGGTGACATTGTTTTGTGTGTGTGTGAATGGACAGGAAAATGGGGAGGAGAGCTTTGAGGAGTTGCAACAACTGTTTGAAGATATGTTTCAAAGTGACATTGGATGTTCTGGAAGTGACTCCCACACTGCTGCTTCTTGTTCTGCATCATCTACGTACGTAACTTACTCTGAAACTTCCACTTCTAACAAACGCAATTCCTCGGAGATGAATGTTGGGAAGAATGCGGATTCTCTTGACTTTGAAGCCACCTTCCAGGACTTCTGTCTAGGGGTTAGTGTATATATATATATGCCTTTCTAAGTGTTCACTTTCGTACTGCATGATACATCAATGATTAGGGAAAATGAGATTTGCCTTAGTTTTTATCTAAAAGAAAAATTCTCGAACCATATCTCTACATTGGTTATATACATAGAGGATATGTAATCGTGTGAATTGTTGTGACCCCCAAAATTTGGCAGCAGCCTTGGCTTAATAGATTAGTGGTTTTGAATCTTTTCATCCAGAGAGTCTAAGTGAGTTGTGTGTTCTTTCTTATGTTGAACTTGTACCCAAGGTGTTTCTAGTAAACTAACATTACCGGTGAGGAAACAAATGAAGTTGGAGTATTTATGTGTTTTGAGGTATGTCTAAATGGTAAGCTTTTTCATCTCATCATCTCTATGCCTGCTGCATTGTATCAGATATCGCAAGTCACTCCTTCGCCTGAAAATAACCTTAGTGTCTGTACATTAGTGTGTGTGTATATATAGCAATGGTCCAGTATATTTACTGGTTGGTGATATGAAGACAGGTGGATCGGCTACAAGACATAAAGAAGGGAGGAGGAGAAGGAGGAGTACGAGGAACAGGTAGCAGTAAGCGAAGACATGGTAGGAAACAAAAGGTTGCATCTGGGCATGATGTTTCCTCCAATGAGATCTCCGGTATTTCGGCATAGTCACCACCTCGTTGGCCATATGCTTCTCACCAATCTGGGGATTTTGGAACGATTCACTGATATTCTTAACCTGACTCTCTCAAAGCTGAACTGTGATTGATCTGTCTGGAACACAACAATGACTACATGTAATACTGATATGAAGAGAGTTATTAACAATGTTGGGGCGTCAACAAAATTGTCCAGTCTTGGAGAGAGGGTTGACTCGGTCTTTTTTAATCATTTTGCTTGCTGCCATTTTAGATTCAAGATGGAACTTGGAATCAAATCAAAATTTAATTTAACGGCCAATATGTGTTGTAGTTGAGGGCTTGCTTTGCAGGTTGAACTAAGAAATGTTTTATTTGTTAAAGTGGTTCTTTGTGCGGAGTTGAAGCGAGAGGAGGGAGGATACATGCATGTGAAGTGAGATACTTGTGATGGGACTGCGAGAATGAAAGTGAAGGGAGAAAAGAGAGATTGAGAGAGGAAGAGGTTGGTGGCTGTGGAAAAAGGGAATGTGGGGACGATGGCAAGTACTGAAGAAAGAAAACCGGAGAAAATGGAGGCTGGCTTCTTTTTGTAGTCAATGGAGGAGGGTCCCACAACACGTGGCCTCAGACCCCACATGTGAACTCTTTCGAAAGAGCATAACGCGGGCACTTCCGCCGTTCCTAACTTATTTTATATGAAAGTTACTTCTAATTATTTCGCGAAAACCTTATCAATTTATTCTTATTAAAGGCAGTATTTAAAATTTTTTTAACTAATAAAATTTTTAATTTTTACTCCCAAAAAATTTATTACTACCGTCGGTTTTAAATATAAAAGTTAGTTAATAAATTTAAATAGATTAAGAAAATTAGATAAGTTAAATTTTTGTAATAAATAGGTGTTTTTTTAAAAATATGTTTGTTAATTAAATGTATTGTTTAGAACTATTCGAGTTTTATATTTAAAATTAGGATAAAAATTAAATGTTGATTATATCATGGGTTGGCTCGAAAGCCGCTTTTGTCATGTGCTTATATGTTTGTTGGCAATTGATCTGATATTGGAGAATCCAAGTAGGAGAAAATGGATGTTGAAAGAAGCGAGTGTTTGATAATGCGTGTATTTCTTCCATATGTTTAATATCTTATGAGACGTAACTTTAAAAGGGGAATCATTGAAACCGATAATTGTATTGAGAATAACCTTAGGGGTACTTGAAGGGTCAGGCAACATCGGATCTAGTTCCTTTTTTTATTACGTTCACGTCCCTACCTGTAAGTTGTGCTTTCTTTTCAGGTAATATTAAAACATGATTTCTCAGATCATTGTGTTCAACACACTCATACACACAATCGATTATTTTAATTTATTTACAAATACCACTTTCTTCTCCGTTCGTTTAACATGGAACGTCTTTTTCATTTTTTTAATATTCCCACCATTTTCTTTTCCATATCATATCAGCTTGCGGATAAACCGCATTTTCTTAATTGATTTTTCCCATGTTTTTTCCTTTATCATAAAAGGTTCGTGCTTGTTGGTCTCATAATAATTAAAGGAACAAGACAACAAGTTGTGGTAGGATAGAAGATTAAAAAGACAGCCAAAGTGGCACAAGTTGTGACGGACAAAAAGGACGATTCGAATTTAGGTCCCGTTTGATACAATTTTTTTTCCAGCAGAAGCAAGCGGGGAAAAGGACTCTTGAGACTTTCTTGATTCTAAATTCTAAGCATCTACAGGTTTTATTTTTTAAAATTTTATAAATCCTTACATCTCCGACTCAAGAATTCAAGAAAGATTTTAGCAGTGAAAAGGAACTAAAAATGAGGGATAAGGATTGAGATTGAGAATGCAAAATTATATTGAAAAAGTGTTTAGCGTAAGTGATTGTGTGATATTTGGGATTAAACAAACTCATATACGTGGGATTATGGAATACCATGAGAGAACGTGGCATTCTCCAATCCTCTATCTATATGGGATTGCTTAATCCCATATGATAAGAAATCACTCATGCTAAATATTTTTTTAACATATGTTTTCAACCTTAATTCCAATCTTTACTCTGCTCCGTACCTAGTGTGTTTGCAAAAAAAAATAAATAAGAAGTCAGAAATCACAGATAGAATAAAAGTCAACTTGTCTGGGGACAACCCACGAGATGAAATCACAAAACATGAACCATTGAATTGAAATTAATGGAGGAGGCAACTTGGCATACGCAAACCAACCCATTTTTTCTTATAGTCTAAGCCCCTACCCTCAAAAGGAGCACATACCAACTTTGTTTGTTTTATTTATTCCCCCTGGTGCATGTGCCAATCAATTCATTTTTCTTGCTCACGTTAAATCACTCTTTATGCTCCTAATTTATACTCCTCAAACTTAAAAACTGATAACTAATTTATAAATATTAAAAAATTAATTAAGTTGGTTATTTGTGAGACATATATTTTTTAAAAATATCTATTAATCATTTGCATTAAAGACTATTTCTTAATGAAAATTCTTTCAAAATAATTTGAAGAACAAGTTGTAAATTTTGGCGATAAAGTAAATTTGGATCTTATGTTTAGCATCAAAGTAAATTTCTTCATTAGATCCTAAGCTTAAAGCTTTTCCAACAAGAGCACTTCCTAGTATTCGAATTTGTGTTCTTCTATTTGTGAGATAAGACTGCTTACCATCTCAACCAATAGTTTATTGGTCGTTAGATTGTATATTTACTTACTTAAGACCAAAGGAGTGCTTACTGCTTAGCCCAAAAAAAAAAGCTACACAAATTCTATGCATTTTTCTAAATTTTTATAAATTTCTATCCATTTTCAAATATTATACATTAAAATCTTCTTCATTAAAAGTTATTTTCACTTTAGTTTAAGTTTAATTATTTTTTTCCTTTTTATTGAAGCATCTTCATTTTTAGAAGACATGTCTTTTGAATAAAAAATTAAAAGAAAGTAATGTTTAGAAAAAGAAAGAACTTTAAAGTGGAGTTCCATTGTTCCAACCCGAAAAAAGAGTCAAGTTTCAACAGTAGCCTTTTATTCGGTTCGCCTGGGCAAGCACGGACTTTGGATCTCCCTTTGGGAGGAGCACTTCCCGGTGAAGCTTTCCTTTTTCGGGGGAAAAAAAATAATTTCTTTGTTTATGCGAAGGGGGAAGAATTTAAAATGTTTGTTTAGTTTTATACATATTTATATGATAAATAATCGTAAAATTTAAATAATAAATATGATATTTAACTATTTTACAGGAAAAGAAAATATTTTACTTCCCATTGTTTTGAACTTTGAAGTAATGACAATTAGGTCTCCAAAGACAATCACGTTCGTATATAACCAAACAAATACAGATGTGAGGTACTTAGCTATAAATTATTACAAGTGACATGTGAAATTCTAATGCTCTTATTCACAATAATTTGTAATTAAGACTCCTGTATTTATCATCGTTTGCGCTGCTTGCTATGAGTTTTCAGTGATTCTATTTTTTCTCTTCTTTTCTTTTTTTAAATATGTATTATCCTCTTAATAGAGACAATTCTATTTGATGTTTTGTCAATTACTAAATATAAGCTTTTTTTTTTTTGTGAAAATTCAAATCTTGATTCAACATATCCTTCTACTAGACCTAATTTTATTTCATATGGTCTAAGCATCAGGCAATACTCTCAAAAAGCCCATTGTTAACCATACAAGTGGGCCAGCCCAAAACATGTCGCACTTGGTCGAGGCCCAAATTCGTCATTGGGCCGGATGCGGCAGAAAAGCTTATCGGAAATACCTGCATGGCTGTCTCTCAAGTAAGGCGAGAATAATTGATGTAACTGGCTAAAGAAAATAATATTATCTCCTATTTTTAATATAAAATCTCGTTTGATTTTTATTTTGATTCTGAATATAAGATTTCAGTCTTTTTTTTTTAAAGCAAACATTTATTTCCACTAATGACATTGTTGCTTAGTAAGATGGGAACTCATAATAAGTGAGAGGTTGTGAGTTTGATCTTACTTATTCTTTTAGTTCTATTTACAAGGTAGAAAGAGAAGTTTTTTTTACCTTATTTATAACTTATTTCATTAAATTTTGTACATAAATGTACTATTTTTTATTTTATTTTTATAGTGTAGATAATTATTTTTTTGAATGGTATATATATTAAATAAGGCTAAGGTTAAAAAATTGTTATATTTTAATAGAGAGTTAATATAGTTTAAGATTTTTCTTGATCCGGTAAAATATGCTAGAAATGCCTTATAAATAGGATTAGAGAATTATAATCTTACATTGTTAGTACCTATCCTTTTTAAATAAAAAATTTATTTTGAAACTCGTTTTTCTCCTCAGAACCAGATTTTTTAAAAAAAAATGAAATTATACTAGTGGAATTCAAGCAATGGAATGTCCTGCACGTATCTCAGCGAGGGAGTGTTTGAAAATCCTCATAAGTGTTTTCTAGAAACACTTTTTCGTAAATTGAGATAAACTTTTTCACATGTCGTAAAATTACTTTTAAAATTATGGTTTGATTTCCATCCAAACACCCTCAAATCAAAACTGTTTAAATTGGAACTCCTTTTGGCAAATAACAAGCACCAAGGACATTTGTGATCATGTTTTTTTTTATTTTATTTTTTCAATATGAATGTGGCTTTGGTCCCCTGGCACAAGAATTTACTATTTTTTGTCTTTCTTAATTGAAAACTTTAATTTTACTCTGTTGGTATCATTAACCTCTGTAACTTTGCTTTGTTAATACTGCTAGCTTTTATGCAAAAGCTAATAATGCTGAGTGTTTAATATAAAAAAATACATATTTCAAATTAAAAATTGATTGATGGTACCATTGATAGGTGCAAACTGATATTTTTCCTATTTTTCCCTCTTTTCAACTAAATTCTAACGTGCACCAGAATCCAAGGCTAATGAATTGACCTCCTCTCCCCACCCTTATCTGCATCCTTCACAACTTTATACAACAAAAAGCTCCTAGGCATAATCATCTTGATCCTTATTATAAAATTTGCCCATAATTAATATCATACATTACATTTAAAAAATCCTAAAAGTTACAATTAATGAGATTTTAAATAAGAGCAATCTTAAAAAATAATGAATACTCCACATACGTAATGACTTATAATAAAGATCATATATTTTGTTTTATAATAAAAACCAGAATGATATGTATTTTCCTTAGAAGAATTGAGAATGATAACTTAAAACAACTTCTCCGTAATAAATCATTGCTTAAGAGCAGCAATGTTTGCCCTTTTAAAATGATGGCTTACTTAAACCTGGATCACATAATCTGGAGTCAATGGTAGAAACAATATTATCTATCCGGATAATGATGCGTGGTTAAACAAATACTACCTCCGGTCCTAATTATAAGACCCAGTTGACTTATTTGAGGAGATTAAGGAAGTAAGTTAAGTTAGTTATTTGTAATAAATAAGTGTTTTCATTCCTAAAATGTCCTTGCTAATTAAGTGTATTGGCTAGAACTATCATTATTAGAAGGACTATCTTGGAAAAAATGCATAAATATGAGAGAAAAAATGGATTGGGGTCTTATAATTAGGACCAAACAAAAAGTCAAACGGGGTCTTATATTAAGGACCAGAGGTAGTATTTTATATTAGGTAAAACATCAAATAAAACCAGTATTCTAATTCCATATTTTAGACAAATTACTAAGAATAAAAATAAACTATTGCATTTTTTTGCCAACAAAAGTATTGCATTTGAATGATTTAATTCAATATCAATATCAACATAAATGGGAAAAAATAGAGAAGTTCGCGTTATTTACACACTCAACTAACATCCACATGCTGTTATTAATTTCATAACAATACAATTGGAAAGAGGGGTTAATGTCCACTCAACATCCTAAATTATTATAATATTTTAAAACTAAATGCACTTGAAAAAATACTTAAGTTGCGGTTACACTTTTACTCTAAAAAAAAGTCCCAATTTTTTAATACTCCCTATGGCCTCCAGTCTTATTTATACACTTTAAATTTAGAGAAAGGTATAATCCAATAATATATTTGTTATTTTTTTTCTTAATTATTTATTATCTCTCAGGTCCTAATAACAATCTAAGTAACCTGTAATGATAAGTTCTACGGTAAAGAATAACAACATCTGAAACTTGTTTTGCAATTTTTTTTTTATAAGACTTGATTGTAATTCATCATGTGGGAGTCACATGGTTTGAAGTTCGGGAAAAGATCCCATTCCGAAGCAAAACATGAAGTGATTATAACATAGGCTTGCCCCGCTCTGATGTTAACCTCGGACCCCAACCAAAGTGGATAACTGTGCACCATAAACTCAAACACCAACATTAGATGGCCCCTTAATTACACATTGATCCCACGCCACTACTTTATATCCTCTGGATGAAGTCGAACCGTCGCATTTATGCAAATTACAAATTCAGTTTTCAAACACTCTCTTAGACTTGTCAATCACAGATCTTTTATTCATAATCTCATAGATGCGTGCTTGTATTTTTCTAAAAAATTTTTTTAGCCCTGTCTGAATAAACACTACTGCTAATTTGATGAATTCTTGGAAAATAAAGAATGTAATAATTTTTAAAGGGTAAAAATTGATCAAAATTCCCTAATAAGAAAGTTCATTCTTGCAAAAGCCTAAAGCGAATGTAATTCATTTTCAGCAGATTCTTATTCAAGTTATATAATATATTTTTAATTATGCGCAAATATTTTGTTTTGTGCTCTATACAGCTAGAGATGGGCTACAATTCAACTACAAAATAATTAGATATAATTCAACATACGTTCTTAAACAAATTTCAAGTGATTTTGCACAATTGATTTTTTCATTTTAGATTTTTAACCTATTTACCTTGCTTAAAATTTTATTAAACATATAAAACTGCATTTTTTTTATGATAAATAAAATGAAATGGATGCAGTAATTTTTTTTTTTTTTGGGTGGGAACAAGTAAGCATCAATATCTGGTTTTGGTGGGTGGATATTGGAAATATGGGGTGGGGAGCTTATCCAATGTGTCGAAGTAGGGCCCACGTGTTCCCTCTCCCCATGTCATTCCTCGTGGTTTCCACGTCATCCGTTTCAGCTTGGCTCATCCCCCCCCACCCAAGTCCCTTCTTCCACTCCCCTATTTTATACTCATTTTAATAATTACTCATAATTACATAAGTTGGAAAATTTTCTGTAGGAATAAAATTGACTGATTTTTAGAAGTTATATTAGGTCAATTTAAATAGAGTCAGATTGCATGAATGTAAAATTTTTTTCAGTAATAATTTGATTGGATTCGTAATGAGACTCAAACTTAAGGCTATGAATAACACGAATGTAAAAATCTGTAGGATTTTTTTGTGTGGTGAAAATGAAAGCGCAGAGAGACCTTTACTTAAAATAAAAAGCGCAATGAGACAATTTCAGGTTCCATTCTTTTCTTTAAAGGGAAAAAAGATTTGGCTCTTTCTCAGAAACATCAATTGATAGGAAATTATTTTAAAAAATGACCTTGCAAATTTGCACAAAAAGATTGTATATTTTATTAACTATTAACAAGTCGCATGTCATTTTTCAGTTTTCTTGTCTTTTGTTGATTTTTTATTCTTTTAAATACTCACATTTGAATTTTAAAATTTTCCATCTTATTTTTTATTCTGTATATAAAAATTATTTGAAATTTAATTGCTAAAATTTAGTCCATTATAAAATTATTATATTAATTAAAAAATTATGAAATAAAAGTGGACCATTAAAATTTAACATAAACAATTTAAACTACAGTGAAAAAATTAGGACACTTCTAACTGGGCTGAGTTAAATTTTAACAATTTAAGTTTATTTATTAATTTTTATTATTGAATATTGTAATAATTTTCTAACGCGTAAGATGTTAGCTATTGACGATGAGGTCAAATATGAGAAAGGTAAAAGAAGGGAAGAGTAAGAGGAGGGAAGCCGAGTCGCAAGCAACTGAGCTGAAAACATGAATTGGGAAAAAGAATAACTATAACTACGAGTAACTACTAAATATTAGGACTTGATCTTTTCATGTCACGCACTCGCAAAATGAAATTATTAGGATTACGATTTTTGAGAATCGAAAGAGAAAATATAGAAATATGGATTCAATGGCTCTAAAGAAAGCCACATTAGCCGGAGCTTAAACCAGAGATTTAGCCGTCAATATTCAATCCTCAATTCCACTCCATCTTCCTCCTCATCCTCCATTTTTCTCTCTATAAGTACACTCTTTCTCACTTCCTTCTCAAACCAAAACAACCCCCAAAAACACAAAAAAAAGAAAAAGAAAAATTGGTTCCATCTCTACGTTTCGTTCCTGGGTTTTACAATTTTGTTCCAAAAAAGAAAGCTGATTCCATAATCATGGGTTTTCTTCACAAGCTCTGGGACGAAACGCTGGCCGGCCCTGCTCCGGAGTCCGGCCTCGGAAAACTTCGCAAGTACGATTCCTTCCCTGCCTCCTCCTCCGCCTCTCCGATCTTGCCGCCGCCTACCATTACTCGCAGCATCACCATTGTTCGCACCAGCTCCGATTCCCGTTGTTTCTCCTCCGATCCCGCCTCTTTGCCGGACTCGCCCTCCGGCCCCACTACCCCTCGCACGCCTTCTACACGTAATTCTCTTCTCCCTCTCTATCTGTTTGTTTTAATGCCTGATCGCAGCTTGGTTGGGCTATAAGCTTGAATGGAACGGGTATGGTTCTATGTTGTTACTATGATAAATTTTGAATATTAAGATAAGATTCAAGTATTTATTTTGATTGAACATGGAAAATATGAGAATCTGATATGACCATCAGATTCTGCAACCCTGTAAGTTAACTTTTGCCGTAGGAATCTTTCTAGACTTCAAATCAACCCGTCTATTTTCTCCTCTCCCTTGCTATTGGGTGCAGAGATTCTAAAAGATAGTAGACCATGACCCAATTTCGACTTAATTCTCACATTAAAAGGATGACGCTAGAATTCTTCGTATGCATATAAAACATTAAAAGAGGGGAGAGAAAAAGAGAAACGACAAAGGATGAGATGTAAGTTATATAAAGTCACATTCTTTTATGTCATTCCCTCTTTTGAGCTACGCTCTTTGGATCAGTTGAAAATTTATCAGAGAGATTTGTGAAAGTTAATGGGTTTTTGTTGGTTCTTTTTCATGCAGCGGGGACTCCAGCAGGTGATTTCAAGAAATTCACGAGGAGAAAATCGCCAACTCAAGCAGGACGACCTGAGTCTACAAGTCCGAACATTTCCGATTGGTTCTCTTTTTTCTTTTCCGATTTCCTGTTTGGTGCATCAAATTATATGTGCGGTTGTCTTGTTTCTTCTCTGAGTTCGTAACTATGGCGGTCTCTATGTGGTTTTACAGGGTAATTATGAGTGCTTTCGATCGTTGAAGGAGTAAAGCAAGAGACTTTGACTCGGAAAATATCAGGCAGATGGATTCGTTTTGTACACGGAAGAGAGATTCCAAGGGAAACATCGTTTTGTGTTTGTGTACGTGTGCTTGTGTATATAACGAGTAGTAGATTAGTAGCTTCCTACAATAAGATGGTTCCTCAGATCATGAAGAAGGAGCCAGTTCTTCTTGGGATCCTGGAGATGGAAAGTACTGTCTCGGACCTGAGTTTGACTTGTTCTTCTCTTCTTCTTTTTTTTTTTTAAAACTTATTTTTCGATTTCCCTTCTCTCTCCTTATATACAATAACACATATATGTATGTACGTATGTATTTCTAAGGCTCACTTCAAGGGTTTTGATTGTGTGTATGGATTTTGGAGACTGAGTTCTCTCAGTGGAACTCAATAATGAAACTTGAACATTTCGTGTGTGTTACTTCGCAGACCTCATCACTTCTACTCATATATTAATATACGTGTCCATTAAATTTGAGGAAAAGATCACGGAATTAGATTCTCTAGATTTCTTCTAAGTATAGAAAAAATTAATCTTTTTTCCTTTTATCGGATTCTTAAAATTTTGGACCCCTTAATCCCTCATCCTTTAAATAGTTAAACAAGTGTCAAAATTCTGTTATTAAGCATAAACATAGATGGACAACTCTCAAATTTCACTCATTAAATACATTTTCCTATATGATAGATGAAGACTTATTAAGGATATACTATTTATAACTAATGAAAAACAGAACTAATTATAAATATTATATTTTTACTAGAACTAGAATTAGAAAGGCTCTAAGTTTGAGATAAATCATGTTCCTAATGACTAATGAATAATGCAGCCTTTATATCTTTTGTTGATACGGCAATGGTTATATTTGCATATATTTCTATAAACGAAGCTCAAATTAATACATGCACATATTACTTCACATGCATCATCACTTAAATTATTAATATACGTATGTATTAAATGTGAAGGATAAAAAACATGAGATTAGATTCTCTAAGGTTCTTTTAAGCAGATATTTGGTGAAGGTGGCATGTGAACTTCAAAATACATTTTTGGAATTATGACTATTTTCATGACTCATCTTATTTGTCACATTAAATTAGTCTTCTTATACATTATTATACGGGACGATTAATTAGTAAGATCAGTCATAAGTTATATAAAGGTTGACTTATAAATGTTATAATTACGCTAGAATTAGAATTAGGAAGGATTCGAGCTGAAAATAAATTTAATTATTTATGATCAATGAATAATAATAGGTCTTTATATTATTTTACATTCCACATGGTCATTGATGATATACTGTAATTGTAATGATTGTTCAACATGACCAAAAGGAGGAGTCAAGTGAATAAAACTTCAATGAGAAGTTAGTGTTTAGTTAAATATGGAACAAATAGCACTCTTAGACGGATAAATATGAAGAAACTTTTCTGTTGGAAGTTAGAAAGAAAAGATGTTTCAACTTTTGTAGAAATCCTAATTAGATGGGATGAGAAAGAAATAAGAGGCAAGATTGAATCTTCAAAAGCAAGGCCAATGGTGAGGCTGCTTTCACTTTGATCTCATCAGATTTCTGCAGTAAAGCCATGATGATTAATTCCAACCTAATCAATCTCACTTCATAAATATCAGATACCTTCAGAATCCACTTCCTCCATTTTTCATAATACTTTAGTGAAATTGAGGCCTCACATTGTCCAGAGAATCATCATCATGAGCACCCAAATCTGCAAATTTTGTTTTGAGGCGCCACTACAGTGGAAAGTTGCTTTGTTATGGTGCTTTGGCTGAGCCAATAGTTAAAGCAAAGCGATGCAATTTGATTTTGATTATTGACTCTTCCAGTTTCAGGGCTGATAGATACATAGTAAATGGGCTATTTGATTTTGATTGGACGACATATATGATATATATTAAACCTTTATTAGTTTGCTAGAATCAATGATTAGGAAGGAACTGTGCTGAATGACTTATTTAATAGGGCAGATATTACACCACCAAAAACTGTCTCTTTAATAATGCAAATGAGCCGCATGAATGAATGGAAGCTTTTAAACATACACAAGTACCTTTTCCTTTATTGGTTTCGCTTCTCCTTTGTCTTCTTTATAACTTCCTAACTCATTGGCTATCAAGTTATCAATAAATGTCATTGTGGCTGTTAGTAGCTACTGCGCTTCCAAGTTCTCATCTTACAGTTTTGTCATTGAATGCCTGTCTGGAGCCACGTTAAGTAGTGACTTTTAAGTAGTTTTTGGCTTTTAATGTATTTGAGTGCCCGTTTGGATCAGTGTTTGTTGGCCCAAACATGACTTAAAATTAAAAATAAGCTCGGTTGACACGTTGGGTCTGTTTGGCAAAGCTTGTGGTGTATTGGGCTTATTAATTTTTAAGCCATTTGAACGCCTAATTGAAATAAGCTACAAGGGAGAGCTTATGATCATATCAGAAGAGCTTATTTTGTTTTGCTTTATATTTGCAATATTGTTTTTTCATTTCTATGATGTTTTCAAACTTAATTCACTCAATCAATTTCACTTCTTCATATTAAATTAATTTAAATTTATTGTATTATCTCAATTCATTTTTTTCCATGTTTCACTTTATATTTAAAATATCTTTTATGATTTTTCTAAAGTTTTCAATTTAATTCACTCATTAAATTTAACTTCTTCACATTAAATTATTTTAATTTCATTGTATTATGTGAAATCATTTTTTTTTGTTTTATTATTTATTAAAACTCATACCCATTTTAGTCATTTTACAACCAAACTTACTTTTACTCAACCATAATCCAATAA